TTTCTCTGCTCTTGGGTCGTGGTCTCATTTTTACTGACCCTGGTTCGTTTTCTCGTTTTCTCAGCCCCTGGGACGTGGTCTCGTTTTCTCTGGCCCCGGTTTGTGTTCTCGTTTCCTGTTTTCTCGGCGCCTGGGTCGTGGTCCAGTTTTCTCGGACCCTGGTTACTTTTCTCGTTTTCTTGTTTTCTCGGCCCTTGGGTCGGTGTTTCGTTTCCTCGGACGCTGGTTTGTTTTCTCGTTGCCTCGTGTTCTCGGCCCCTGGTTCGTAGTCACGTTTTCTCGGGCCCTGATTCCTTTTATCGTTCTGTCGTTTTCTCGGCCCCTGGGTCGTGGTCGAACCATGGCCCGAGAAAACCAAACCACGACCCAGGGGCAGAGAAAACGAGAAAACGAACCGGAACAGAGAAAATGAGACCATGACCCAGGAGCCGCGAAAACAAGAAAACAAGAAAACGAAACGGGGTCCGAGAAAACGCGACCACGACCAAGGGGCAGAGAGAATGCGAAAACGATAAAACAAACCAGGGCCCGAGAAAACTGGACCACGACCCAGGGGCCGAGAAAACAAGAAAACGAAAAACAAATCAGGGTCCGAGAAAACAAAACAACGACCCAGGGGACGATAAAACAAGAAAACAAGACAACGAATCAGGGTCAGAGAGAACGAGACCACGACCCAAGAGCCGAGAAAACAAGAAAACGAGAAAACGAAACAAAGGCCGAGAAAACAAGACTAAACCCCAATGGCCGAGAAAACGAGAAAACGAACCGTGACCAGAGAATCCGAGACCACGACCCAGGAGCCGAAACAACGAGAAAACGAGAAAACGAACCGGGGCCCGAGAAAACGAGACCACGACCCAGGAGCCGAGAAAACGAGAAAACTAACCAAAATCAGAGAAAACAAAACTACAATCCAGGGGCCGAGAAACGGAGAACACGAGAAACCGAACCAGGGTCCGAGAAAACAGGACCACGATCCAGGGGCCGAGAAAACTAAAAACGAGCCAGGGTCAGAGAAACCGAGACCACGACAAAGGGGCTGAGAACACGAGAAAACGAGAAAACTCAAGGGTCCGAGGAAAAATGACACCACGACCCAGGGGCCGACAAAACGAAACAACGAGATCACGACCCAGGCGCCGAGAAAACAGCACAAACAAACAACATCCGAGAAAACGAAAAAGGAAACTACGAACCAGGGGCCGAGAAAACGAGACCACGACCCAGCGGCCGAAAACATGAGAAAACGAGAAAACAAGACAAAGTCCGAGCAAACGAGACCACGACCCAAGGGCACAGAAAACGCGAAAACGAACCAGGGTCCGAGAAAACACCACAACGACCCAGGGGCCGAGAACACGAGAAAACGATCAAAGGAATCAGAGCCCGAAAAAACGAGACTACGAACCAAGGGCCGAGAAAACGAGAAAACGAGAAAACGAACCGTGACCCGAGAATCCGAGACCACGACCCAGGAGTCGAGACAACGAGAAAACGAGAAAACGAACCGGGGCCCGAAGAAACGAGACCACGACCCAGGAAGCGAGAAAACGAGAAAACGAACCAGGATCAGAGAAAACAAAACTACAATCCAGGGGCCGAGAAACGGAGAACACGAGAAACCGAACCAGGGTCCGAGAAAACAGGACCACGATCCAGGGGCCGAGAAAACTAAAAACTAACCAGGGTCAGAGAAAACGAGACCACGACCAAGGGGCCGAGAACACGAGAAAACGAGAAAACTAACAAGGTCCGAGGAAAAATGACACCACGACCCAGGGGCCGACAAAACGAAACAACGAGATCACGACACAGGCGCCGAGAAAACAATACAAACAAACAAACCCGAGAAAACGAAAAAGGAAACGACGAACCATGGGCCGAGAAAACGAGACCACGACCCAGGGGCCGAGAACAGCAGAAAACGAGAAAACAAGACAAAGTCCGAGCAAACGAGACCACGACCCAAGGGCACAGAAAACGCGAAAACGAACCAGGGTCCGAGAAAACACCACCACGACCCAGGGGCCGAGAACACGAGAAAACGATAAAAAGAATCAGGGCCCGAGAAAACGAGACTACGAACCAAGGGCCGAGAACACAAGAAAACGAAACAACGAACCGGAACAGAGAAAATGAGACCCCGACCCAAAGACCTAGAAAACAAAACAAGAAAACGAACCAGGCCCCGAGAAAACGAGACCACGACCCAGGAGCCGAGGAAATGAGAAAACGCGAAAACGAGACCCACGACCCATGGGCCGAGATCACCAGAAAACGCTTGGTTCGAGAAAACGAGACCACGACCCAGGAGCCGAGAAAACGAAGAAACGAGAAACGATGCAGGGTCAGAGAAAACGAGACCACCACCCGAGGGCCGAGACAACGAGAAAACGAGAATACAAACCAGCGTCCGAGAAAAAAAAAACACAACCCAGGGGCCGAGAAAACGAGAAAACGATGCAGGGTCCGAGAAAACTGGACCACCACCCGAGGGCCGAGACAACGAGAAAACGAGAATACAAACCAGCGTCCGAGAAAAGAAAACCACAACCCAGGGGCCGAGAAAACGAGAAAACGATGCAGGGTCCGAGAAAACTGGACCACGACCCAGGCGCAGAAAAAAACGAGAAAACAAGAACGCGAACCAGGGCAAAGAAAACGAGACCGCGACCCAGGAGCCGAAAACACGAGAAAACGAGACCACGACCCAGGGACCGAGAAAATGAGAAAACGATAAAAGGAATCAGGCCCCGAGAAAACGAGACTACGAACCAGGGGCCGAGAAAACAAGAAAGCAATAAAACGAACCAGGGGTCGACGTTATTCTCCAATTCGTTCTCTAGCGCTGCGGTGCGCACCTGTCGTCAAGGATTCCGCCGTTTTGCCAGAGCCCCGGAAGGGAGGGGGGGAGGTAGCTTCGGAAGCCCCCCCCCCTTTGCACAGGAGGGGGGGGTAGCTTGAAGCCGCCCCCCCCTGTCCAGACCAAAAAAGGAAGGAGGGGTGGGGTAGCTTCCGAAGCCCCCCCCTTTGAAAAGGAAGCCCGGGCTCACCTTCTGCTCCGGAAAAGGGAGGGAGGGGGGGGATAGCCGGGATAGCTTCGAAGCCCCCTCCTTTAGCCAGGGCCCCCCTAGCTTAGAAACCCTTCAGAAGGGGGGGGGGTAGCTTCGGGAGCTCCCCCCCCTTCGAAGGAAGGGGGGGGGTAGCTTGAAGCTGGGTCCCCCCTTCTAGTATTGAGTTCCGTGCGGGCGCGCTCTTACGAAACTCTGATTTGGCTCTGGCCTGAAACTCTGGTTCATCTCTCTGGTTTAGCTGAAGCTCTGAATTAGCTCTGGTCTGGAACTCTGCTTAAACTCTGATTTAGCTCTGGTTGGGGACAGAGCCGAATCAGAGTTAAATCAGGGCTCAGACCAGGGTTACATCAGAGTTTCGAGAAAATCAAAGATGAAACAGAGTTCCGGGCCAGAGTTGAATCAGAGTATAATTAAAGTCTTTTGGATTTAATTCCTGAGGCTAGTTTGCCTCCAAACACACACACACACACACTCAAACGTAGCGTGCACCTGCCCCCTGCCCCTCCCGCCCCCCCCCCCTCTGGGGGTCGCGCTGGGCCTCCCTGAGTAAAAGCCCTTTGGGGCAATCCTAGGCGATTTGGAAATCATTCTGGCTCGTTTGGGGTAGTAATCGGGGCATGCTTGGCTGCCTTGGCGGCCTATGTGGCCTTCTTGGGGGTTCCCTTGGGCCGTCCTGCGCCTCTCGAAAGCCCTGTTGGCCTGTCTTCGTGGTGCTCGGGGCCCTCGTGGGCCGTTTTGGGCTGCTCCTGGAGCCATCCCAAGCTGTCTTGCAACTCTACGGGGCCCTCTGGACGCCACCGCTTGAAGCCCTGAGCCGTCCTGCGCCCCCCCTTGCTGGAGCCAGGGCCCGTAGCGTTCACCTGCCCCCCGCCCCTCCTGCCCCCCTCCCCCTGGGGTCGCGCTGGGCCTCCCTGAGGGCACTTTTGGGCAATCCTGGCCGCTATGGGTAGAATTTTGGTCCGCGTTGGGCAGCGATCGGGACCATGCTTGGCTGTCTTGGTGGCCTTTTGGGCCTTCTTGTGGCTCCCTCGGGAAGTCCCGCCGCCTTCTGAGAAGGCCCGTCCTTTCTCTCTTCTCCCCATCGCTCGCCGCCAAATTTGTCGATGGGCACACTCTGCTTGGGGCGCCCCGAAGGCTCCGCCGTGACTAGGGATGGTGGGTGGGGGCATGGACTGCAGAATCCACGAGGGGTCGCTGGCAGACGGGCCGTCCGAGAGCGCCTGCGCCGATGTCGGCATCAGCTCCTTGGCAGGGTTCACCCCCCGAGGGGCGCCATACGAGCATGTCGCTCGGAAGAGGGGGGGTATGGGACGGAGTGGAGTGGTGAGCCGAACAGTATTCCTATAGCGTGCAGCGTGAGGTCTGGTGCAAAAACGTATAGCGTGCAGGATCGCTTTGAGACGAAGAAAACGTATAGAAGGCCCGCACGACGTCAGAGTTTTTGGTATTTCTATCGGAATGGAATTACGCCGGAGAGTCGGCGTATAGCGTGTACACGTTTGGGTAATTGTGTGTCCCTGGTCGCGCACGCTATCTGTGGATACTTGACCGTATTTGTGTATGCAACCTTCTGCTGTTCGATCCTCCTATTCCTCCTCTTCCGCCTCCTCCTTAAGCCGTCGCCTCCTCCTGTTTCCCCTCCTCCTCCTCCTCATCCGCCTCCTCATCTTCCACCTCGTCCTCCTCCGCCGCCTCCTCCTTCGGCCGCGCGCGGACCTCCGACAATCTATGTGTATGCATTTCTTCGTTGTTCGATCCTCCTCCTGTTCCTCATCCTCCTTCAGCCTTCGCCTCCTCCTCCTCCTCCTCCTCCTCCTCCTGCTCCGCGCGTCGGGCAACGACATCAGAAAGCACAGACTAGATAATGGCAAGTGTCTTCCTCCTCCTTCGGCCTTCGCTCTGGTTTCCGCCAGCCCCCCTCGCCTCTCGGCCAGGCTGCGCGCCTCCTGCAACAGGTCCCTGGGGCTACCGCCAGCCGCCTGTAGGCCCGCCGCCCGCTCCCTGGCTGCGGCCTGCGTGGCCCGCAGCAGCTCCGCGTGCTGCAGTTCCTTACGATCGGCGTTCGAAAAGAAGCATGCGGCATCGATATCCCAAGTATGTTTGATCCGTCTCCTGGATGTCTTTGTCCTTTTTACGCTCCTCCTCTTCCTCCTCACCCTTCTCATCACCATCACCGTCCTCCTCCTCCTCCTCCTTCTCCTCACCACCACCACCATCACCATCACCATCACTACCACCATCACCATCACCATCACCATAACCATCACCATCACCATCATCATCATCATCACCATCATCATCATCATCATCATCATCATCATCATCATCATCATCATCATCATCATCGTCATCACCTTCATCGTCATTATCAGCATCATCACCACAATCAGAATCATTATCATTATCATCATCGTCATCATCATCAACATCATCATCGTCACGATCATCATCACCAGCAACAAGATCATCATCAGCATCACCATCAACAGTATCACCATCATCATCACCACCACCATCATCACCAGGAGACTCATCCTAATCATCGTCATCAACACCATCGTCATCATCATCACCACCATCAACATCATCAGCATCATCATCACCATCAGCAGCATCACCATCACCATCACCACCATCACCATCAGCATCCTCACCCTCGCCCTCACCATCAGCATCATCATTATCAGCATCAGCATCAGCATGCGCATCAGCATCATCATCATCCTCAGCAGTATCCTCACCATCCTCACCACCTCAATTTTCTACGACTGGCGATGCAAAGGTAGCGTGCAGCATCGATCCCCGAAAAGCACGCTGGCAATCCCCTCGCGAGGGCCCCTTCTGTGCACGCCATCCCCCAACCAGGGTGGCATCGTCGGCGCACGCTATCCCCAACGTAGCGTATAAGAATTGAGCGGGCCGGCGGCGCAACATCGCATGATATCTTTCCAACGGAAACCGTAACTCGGGGGCGTCCAAGAGGGGCGTCCAAGGGGGGCGTCCCCAAAGGGGATGTATCCAAATCCACCGCCTGGGTCATCGCGTCCTGGGGCCTCGGCGGGCGGTGGATATGGATATAAGTTGGCCCCAAAGTGCCTGAATATAGCCATATCCGCTCGAACCCCCACGCGGTGTGTGTGTGTGTGTGTGTGTGTGCGTGTGGATTACACCTCCGCCTCGAAATGGACCGAGGCGCGTGCGCGGACGAGCAGGGGCCAGGAGACGTGTCGAAGTAAAAAGGGGGGGCCACGAATTTCAGAGAGATATCGTGGCCCTCGCCATGATGCTCAATACACAGCCACCCCTGATTCGAGCGTTGCCAGAAGTGCCCCTGGTCCAAGATGTCCTCAGGATTTCTAAGGAGGCCCCCCACGGCCTCCAGAACGACCCTCACGAGGCCCAGGGGGCTCCAAGGAACCCAACATGGAGCGTAAAGCTGGGAGCGCCTTGGGGCAGGGGCACCTTTGGCAACCCCCGACTGCTCATGACCCCCCTCTTGGCCGCCCAAGGTTTACCCTCTGGAGGGATCGTGGGCCATGGATTGTTGGGCGGAGCGGGGCGGCTCGGGAGCGGGGAGCGGGAACTGGCTCGTAGAGAGCCAGCAAGCGCCTCCTCTCCCCGCCGATCCCGTTTCTTCGCCTCTGCGGATGGTTCCCAGGACATCGTGGGTCGCCAAGATATCTGAAACAATCTGAAATACTCTGAACGAGAGGGAAAGATAGCAGACACCTTTTCAGCACATGACAAGCTGCACTCCTGGAAAGGGGGTCGACGGACCCCCTTCCCCTTGAAACCAAACGGTTAAGGAAAGGGTGTCTCGGGTTCTTAGTTAAGCACACATAGCACTTGAAAGCGCTCCCTGCGCTTTCAGATTCACACTGGTCATAGTCCACTGCTTAGAACCCGATGAAGTCCTCGCATCCCCATGCACGGTATGGGTCTGGTATACCTCCTGGGCCTCTCGGATCCACCGATAGGCCTCGGGCTCGTAGTTGAGGTCGTCTCCTCGTAGTCGTGCTGGAGACTACCCGCACAGTCCATCTTGCACAGGTCCAGTCCTGAAAAAAAAAAAACTCCACCGAATAGGCATAAGTAAGGTCGCCCTTCTTCTTCCTCATCTGTCGCTCTTGTTCCCGTCGGCGTAGCGCGATGCTGTCCGCAGTGGTGCCGTACTCGCCCAAACCCAGGGCATATCGAAGTAACGTACTGTCGCCCTTGCGTTTGGTGAGCGGGTCGGTCAGCTGACTTGTACCTTCGATCCATCGTAGATGAACTTGAGGTCGCTGCATCGCTGAGCGCACGATGACCACGTCGATTGCTGCCCTCTTGTCCTCCGCCAGTCCCGCCTTCGGATTGGCAACGTGATCGTAACCGCCTCTGGAGCCGGTCACACTGATGACGGGGAAACGACCAGCGAGTAGGTAGGGACGCATCAAATCGAACTCGGAGTCGACGATCTCCAGCAGCATGGCCCTGATGAGCTCCACCATAGCCATGCCCTCCGATATTGCCAGCGTCTCCGCACCAAACTGGTGAGCACATATCCTCTTCAATTTGTGACTCTTCCAGGATTGGATGGAGATGGTGGCCGCTTCGCCCTTCAAGATCTTACGCTGCGTCGCGAACACGATATATCCTGCTTGCGAGGCTCCATCCCGTGCATTGGCCCAGGCCGCGTCATTGAAGGCAGCGAAGGCCAGCTCGCGAAAAGGCACGTGTCGTACCTTGAATGTTACGTCGCAAAACTCCTTGGTCATGCGGCCGATACGATTGGCTTCCAGCAAGTCGTCCACAATGAGATTCGGCATTTTTCCCTGCAAGAGAGAGACGGGACCCGAAAGGTCGGGGCGACTCTCCCGCGCCAGGAAGGAGATGGAGCCGCGCAGGCTCCGTGCCTGATGCAGCTCTGCTGGCGTCGCTGGTGACTGAGGCGTCTTACGTCTCTCTGTGGCGATGTCGATAAGTTGAATATTGAAAGAGCTCTGGCGTTGAGAGATGGTGATCTCCGTGTTGTCGTCGTTCTGGTCGAGCTCCTTGCCTGTGTACTTCCCATTCTTGAGACGCCAGGCACCAAAGGGGAACTTCTGACGCAACTTATTGCATGCCTCATCAAACTTCTGGTCGCCACCGCCCACGATGTCGTCCACCGCAAGGCCCATGACGCCGCGCAAGCCCTCTTCGTCCCTGAGGTAGAAGACGCAGCCGTCAAAGATGGCGCACTGAAAACCGATTTCTTTGGCATAACTTGTGAAAGAGGCCAGCCATTGGACGGGGGCGTCTCCGAGTCCATATACTGCCGTGAGTAACTCCACCAACGAGCCCGTTTCCACGTCTGGTATGCCCGTCCGTGGTAGTTCCACAAAAAGCCTGCCCTGATACCTGTCCAGTGGGTCTCCTGCTGTGAAACCCGACGTGATGTCTGCAAGCTGCAGCGTCCACTTACTGGCGCACAAGATCAGCAGGACGAGGAAAACCGAATCCTTACCCATGACTTGGCTGTAGGTCTCCAGCTCCAGCAGGTCAGGGTCGGTGTGTCCCTGGACGGTCCATCGCGCCTTGGCCATCCTCCAGTCGCTGGCATTCATGAAGAGCAAGGGCTTCCTGCTCGCGTCGGTCTCGCTGGGGTCGCCGTCTTTGTCCGTAAGTACCCACCTGGAGCCCATGATCCGAGTGGTCAATGCAGGATCCTGTCGAACTCGTTCTGCCTCTTCTGGAGGGAGAACCCGTACTGCACCCGCCTTCTGTAGGTTGCCCCACTCCCTGCGCTTGGCTGAGATGCACGGCTGGTACTTGTAGGTGTTCACAAGAGACTTCTCCGTGACCTCCTTGCGTCCTCGTTGAGCTGCACTAGTCAACAGAGCGCTGGTGGCGCCCTGAGCTTTTCCCCTCCTCTTTTTCTTGGGAGGAGCCTGCTGGTCCTTCTGAATCTTCTCCTCGATGGTCGCGATACGTTGTGCCACCGGTATCGCCGCGTCAGGGTTAACTAAAGCCTGCTTGATGGTGATCGGTACATCGTCGAGGTGATCATCGTACTGCGTTTCCATGGGGATGGGATCTGACTTCACATCGGAGGAGTGCTCGATCTCCACCGTCGGTGGCTCCAGGGAAGCCGCTGGTTGATCATCCCCTGCGGGCTCTGGAGGTGCTGTCTGAGGTACGTCGTCCTGGTCCTCCTCAGCTGGTGAGGTCTGCTTGGTCAGGTCCTCGTACTTGCGCCTTCCGCGGTTCTCGGTGCTCACCTCCTCCTTCATCGTGTGGTCGATCTCCCCCTCATTGGCCGTGTCGAAGCTGTTCTGGTGAGCATTTCAGCAGTCCACCCTGGTACGAGCACCACACCGTGCTTGGCAGCTCAGCGTGGATGACTCTGGCTGGGCCATGCCAGGAGCTCACGGGGAGTTTGCCCGTGCTACTCCTCCAGAAATAACAGCGATCTCCAGGCTGAAATGTAGTGCCCCTCGGCGGTCGAGTCCTTCTATTGAGAGCTCGTCGCCACTTCTCGGAGCACTCCGCCTCGATGTACGCTGCCATGGCTGCCTTGCGCATGTCAGTGCTCCTGGCAAGCTCGGCGCCCCCATTCATGGCTCGAGATACCGTCGCCAAACTCGGCGAGCCCTCCCCCAATAATTTTTTCTGGTAGTTGAAAAGCTCTTCCAACAACTTTCTGATAAGGCGTGAAACCCCCACGTCGCACACTCTCTCCAATCGCCGCGTTCACTGAGTCGACCAGCTCGTAGAAGTCGCCCCAGTTCTTGGTGTTGAACTTCTGCCTTGTGCGATAGAAGGTCTCCTCCCAGGTCCCCCCAGCCCTCTCAGTCTTGCCGGCCTGCCATGGCGAAGTGGCGCTCGTCACCTTCACCTCGACGCCGTCTCCTTCAGCTGCGTCTGGAAACTCGCCCGTTGGAAAACCTTCCTCGCCGTCTATCACGGTGATCCTGGGAGCGCCGTACATCCGCTTCCAGAAAGCACGAACATGTCGCCTGATCTGCTGACCTTGTCTGCTCGGTAGCGGTACCACGACTTCGTGCCCCGTCCCGTGACACGCGATGTTGAGCATCGGTACATTGGTGGTGTTCTCGGGACCTAGAACGAAGAAGATGCCCATGCCGATGACGTCGTTGAACTGGTAGGTTGTGGGAGCCTTGGACGGTGTGGCCAGCCTGGGACGCTTGTTTGCCTCACAGCTTGGACAGACCAGATGCTGCGCGGCCTCGATAAAGACCTGGCGGGCCTTGCCGTACTTCAACAGCAGCACCAGAATCTCGTTACTGCAGTGACCCATGTTCTCGTGTATCTTCTGTACCTGCTGCTTGACATGGGGATCCGTGCTCCTCTCGTCCTTGTTGTTGGAGACGGGCGCTGCACAACAAGACACGCACTGCGAGCTTGAATTTTCTTCGTCCCTCTTCGTCTCGACGGTCGCCAGCTCGCTCATCTTGGCCTTCGCGATGGCTCGCACCAGAGCTCCAGTAAGCTCCTGCAGGGGTATCGGCACGTCCCCCAGCTTGTTCTGCAGAGAGCCCTGCACGAACTCCTGACTCAGCATCTTCCCGTACTCTGATGCCTGGCCAGGTAGGTTGGTCAAACAGGCCCGTCCTCGTGCATTAGCTTTCCCCGAGAAGACCTCGGGAAGTCGCCTCAGCTTCTGGGTGAGTGGGTCGTCCGATTCTCGAGAGCTCTCCTCTTGCTCGTAGTAGAAGTACCTCGTAGTATCGCCTGCTGGATCGCCATGTCCGACATGAAGGTGGTCACGTCCCTGCCGATCTTCTCCTTGAGCTTCTTGTTGTAGATGTCCTTGGGGTCCTTGGGCGGCTTGGTGATCACGAGTAGGGGACTCGCACTCTTGATCATGTTCCACGCCTCTTTCTGCCCACTCCTCACTAGTAAGTGATGTCCTGCCACGGCCATCACGTGCTCCCGCTCTGTAGTTTCGTGTAAGGGAACTCCGCCAGTCTCCATCATATCGCCGTCATCGTGAACCTGCTCCTCTAGCTGGCCGGGGAAAGCGGTGCACTCTGGAATCGCGTCCTCCATGGCCTCCCTCATTTTGTCCGTTTTGCCTAACTCCTTGAGCGCCTTGCTGACCTTCCGCTCCTCCTTCTCGGTCAGCTCGTCTACTGGTCGCTGATGTCCGCCCCGAGGTGGCCGCGCAGGTTCTCCACCAGCTGGTTGGTCGTTGCGTTGGCGTTCTCGTCCTGCAGCAGCTCGTTCAAGGCGATCAGAGCCTTGCTCCGAGGTGACTGGTCCTGCACTTCCTCGTCCAGCGTCTCCCACTCCTCCTGCTCGGCCGTCTCCGTCAGACCCTCGATCTGCTCCTCCGGCTCTGCAGTTGGACCTCCCGACTGCCTCGAGGTCGAGCTGGCTCCCGATCGCGGTCTCACCTTGGCCCTCGGCGCGCTGCGTGTCGAAGGCTCTTGCGGAGTTTCCGACGAGGTCCATGCTTTCGGTGCTCGAGGTTGCCAACTCTTGATCTCCGCCTCCAGCATCTTGTACTCCTCGAGCTTCTCGCAGATCTCCTTCATGTTGGGGGCTCCCTTGGGGTAGAACCCCACGTGTAGCCTGCATCCACTGCACTGGCTCCAGAACGCTCTCGCATTCCCGCCGTGGTGAGTGAACTCGCGAAGGCAGGAATGCTCCTTCTTGGGGTCGTGATCTCTGGCCCTCGCGCCCACAGCTGGGGCCCGAGGTCCTTGGTTCCCCACGCTGTAGTACCGACACAGCATCACTCCTGTGGGCGGTCGGCTCTCCGAGCTGACCTCGTGCCAGGGCCACTTGAACTTCGGCGCCGTCGTCTTGGTCTGGCTCTTGTTGGCGTCTGCCTGCCGCCCCCTCAGAGGCGACACCTTCTGCTGCATGAAAGAGGACGAGTGCTGCGAGCGCTCGTCGCATGACATGGAAATATGGAAGTAAATCCGAAGACCTTCTGCGAGTTCGGCTCGAGCCTAACTGCTGACGGAACTGGACGATGTTGTCATTTATGTTGTGCAGGTGCTTGTTGTTGATGCTGTCCTCGTCATTTATGCTGTTCTCGGACCTGCTGTTGATGCTGCCCACGGCGTTTATGTTGTTCACGTGCTTGCTGTTGGTGCTGTTCCAGTGCGTGTTACTGTCGATTCTCTGCTTGTTAACTTGAACCGTCGGTTTATGCCTTCCTCTGGATAATCCTCATTTTTGCAGTAGTCTTGCTATGTGTGCTGTTTTTTTTTTGTCTGGCGTTCTCTGCTGTCCTCCTGCTTTCTGCCTGTTGTTTTGTTCCAGCTCCAAACACATGAAAACATACAGCCTCTTCCCTTCTGATCCTCACTGTCGTTTAATGAGGAAGGTGGAGGGATGCTTATACTCAGCCCTGGAACTGAAATCCATAGAAACCTCCTCTGTGCACAGCGTCCAGCCTTCAGGCTTACTCCACGGTCTCGTGAAGTTATCCAGCTGCAGCAAAAAGTCCCCCCCCCCACCCCCCCCCCCCCCCCCAGCGCGTGCCAAGGGAGTCGCAGGCTCTGCCCAGGCAGATCCAGCTCTGACTGGAATGCATGGAGGGACGCCTTCAGCTCCACGGCAAATGTCTTAGACAGTAAAAGTGGAGCCGCTCCCTGCACCAAGCACACAAAAATGATGCCAACGAAGTCGCCCAGCATGATCGGGATGATCACCCCGTCCGTCGCCGCGCAGATCTGGTCATTGCCGAACCTGCGCCTCTTATGGCACGGGAACGTCTGCAGCGTGATGCCGCGCTCCTTCTTGTAGTGCGCCTCCCACTTCGCGAAGGTGCCCAGCCCCATCATGTTGAAACCACAGGCCGTGTCGAGTGCCCCCCAGCCTGGCTTGCCCGACGTCTTGATGTCGATCGCCAGGTTGATGTGCTCTACTAGGTTCGATCTTGACGCCATCTTCGCCTCCGTCGCCATGCAGCTGCAGATCTCGTCGTCCTGCAACGCAGTCATCGCAATGAAACCTCCCGTCGGCTTGTTCTTAGTCTTCGAATTGTCGGGGCACTCCCGGTGCCAGTGTCCAACCTTCTTACATATGCCGCACTTCGTGCGCTTCTGGATGTCCTCTATCTTGTCGTTGAGCTTCTTGCCGTCCTGCAGGTTGCGGAACCCCCGGTTGGTCTTCTTGTCCGCCACGGTCCTCCGAGCTTCGCCCCACGTCCGCGGCTTCGTCGGTGGCGGGACGATCGCCGCGAGGCAGTCGAGCGCCTCGACCTCCGTGAGGATCCGTTTTCCATCGTCAGCTGGTTCTTGTCCGTCGGGTGTTCCATCGCCATCGATCCCGGGCAGGTTGGCCATCGCGTCGCACACAACACTCTCGGCTTCACCATCCTCGGACATCAGGGGCTCGTCCTCGTCAATTCCCGCCAAGTATGCTCCTTTTGTCGATGTTCTCTTCTCGGTGACAGTGCGGTCGTCCGTCATCCGCTTCAGAATCGAGACCAGCTTGTTGACGTTGTAGTCGTAGCCAGTCTGGATGAGAACTTGGTTCCTTTCCGTCTTGGCCCGACCCGCTCCTCTCAATAGCAAGAAACCCATGACCGTGTCGTCCAGTGCGTTGGGGAGTAGCCGTTCTAACTCTTTCTGCTCTGCTCGCGCTCGATTGGTGAACTTATTCAGCGTCTCTTCTCTCGCCCTAGGAGCCGCGAAGAGAGTCTTTTCCAGCTGCTGGAAGGTCTCCGCGTCTGCCTCTGGGAACGCCAGCGTGTCCAGTGCCAAAACGACTGCTTGTAAACCACCTGCGTACTCTACCGAACCTGGTCGTTGGTGTCGTGTCGCAGTCGCCGCCTCCTTGGTCAAGTGCAACAGCAAGGTCTCGCCCTGCTCCTCAGGCGACACTGCCGTCAATCTGCTCCATCTGTCTATGGCCAACCGCTTCTCTGGCCACTCGCTGAGGCCCTTTCCATCCCATGTCGGGAAGGGTGGGTATTTTCCTTTTCGGCCTCCACGTCCCTGGTCGCGTTGCTCGTACTCCCCGCCCGACTCGAGTCTTCCGTGCACCCCTGCCATCATCTTCTTCACCTGCTCTGGTGTGCCGAGCCCTCTCGACTGCACTGGCCTCTCTGAGTCCGTCTCGGAGCCGCCTGAGCAGCCCTTACCTTTCAACTCGCACTTGCCCGCCGAATCCCCCGAGTCGTCGTCCTCGCTTGGCCACCTCCAAGCACCCCAGTTGGACATCTGACTCCACGTTCGATCCCGGGATACTGAGCTGTCGTTCCACGTCTTCCAGGGGTCCCAGGTGTCGCCCTTCATGCTGTCGTGTTGTCCGCTTCGCTGCCCTCTCGTTCTCGACTGTGCCCATCTCACCTTCTCCCCATCGCCCTCATCATTCTCCTGAGGTCCGTCTTCGACGCGTTCCCACGTAATATCATCACGATTGCCGTCGTAGCCGTCGCTCCGCGTACCACATGTGGACGGTTCACAAGACATCGTAGGTCGCCAAGATATCGGAAACAATCTGAAATACTCTGAACGAGAGGGAAAGATAGCAGACACCTTTTCAGTACATGACAAGCTGCGTTCCTGGAAGGGGGTCGACGGACCCCCTTCCCCTTGAACCCAAACGGTTAAGGAAAAGGGGTCTCGGGTTCTTTGTTAAGCACACATAGCACTTGAAAGCGCTCCCTGCGCTTTCAGATTCACAGCCTCCTCGCTTAGCGTCGTTGGCTCCCGCCCCTCCTTCCCTCCCTCACAAGTTCAGACCGGGCCCCCCAGTCCAGCCCCTGTCGCAAGCCTGGCTTCGCCGGGTCATGGATTGGCCCGCCGCCTCCCAAGAGAGCATCGCAAGCATCCGCCGCCGTGCCGCTGGGCACGGAGTGTCCGTCCTCGGGCCCGTTGCCTATTCCGTTGAGCACTCCCGACGAGTCTTGAAGGGTCTTGGGCCCCAATTGCCACATCTCTTGGGGCTTCCTGCGTGCCGCGTGGGGTTCTGGCGGCCCCGAAACGGGCCGAAAGGGCTTCCCCGAGTCGCCGAACGAGTGGCGCAAGGTGCCCGATAAGACAACCCAGTGACGGCCCAAGAGGCCTACAAGACGCCCCAGGAGGTCTCCAAGAGGCTTCCCAAGAGGGCCTCCAAAGGCACACAGGATTGATTTTCTTTTAATATTGAAGCGTGTTGCCGTTCTCGCCCGTTCTGTTTTGCGACGCTCAAACATGGCCCAAGAGGCCTCCAAGACCGCCCCAAGACGGCCCAAAAGGTTTCCAAGAGGGTCCCAAGACGGTCCAAGAGGCCCCCAGGAGCGCCCCAAGACGGCCCAACAGCCCCCCGAAAGGGCCCAAAAGGGCACCACAACTGCCTCAAAGGGGGCCCAAGAGAGGAAACACGGACCGAAAATCCGGGCCTTCTGCCCCGAAGGCCCCAGGAGGCCCCAAAAAGCCCAACAGAAGTCCCAACAGACCCCGAAACGCACCTCCAGAGGCCTCATAAATACCTCCAAGAGGCCCCCCACGAGACCCCATTGAAAATCCAACAAGCTCCATAACCACAACCAAAGCACGGAGGCGGGATGAGCCGAAAACCAACCCGCCGCCCCCTGCTTGCAGGGGTGCACGGCGTGCTGGATGAGCTGTCAGGTTTTGGTTTTGGTTCTTTTTCCAAAAGAACCCCCCAGTGAGCTTCGGCCCGTCCCGCCGGCCACCCGGAAAGGATGCCCAGAAGCTCAATTCCCCAATTTCCTGCCCCAGACGGTTCCAAGATGGCCTCCAAGATGCCTCTAAGACGGCCAGGATGGTCTCTAAGACGGCTAAGATGGCTCCAAGATGCCTCCAAGACGGCCCAAGATGCCCTCCAAGACGGCCAAGATGGCCCCAATATGCCTCCAAGATGGCCCAAGAGGCCTCCAAGACGTTCTCCAGGAGAGCCCGAAGAGGCCAAAATCATTGGTTTTCCTTAGGTTTTTGAAGGTTTTTTGCGTTTTCTTCTTTTCGGCCTTCCGACGGCCCAAGAGGCCCCCAAGATCGCCCAAGAGGCCTCCAAGAAGGCCCTATGACGGCCCAAGGGCCCCCCAAGACGGCCCCAAGAGCGCCCCAAGACGGCCCAAGAGGCCTCCAAGACGCCCAACATGGCCTCCAAGACGGCCCTGAAGCGCCCCAAGAGGGCCCCAAGACGGCCCAGAGAGGCCCCCAAGACGGCTCCAGACGGCGTCAGACGGACCAGGAACGCCCTAAGACGGCCAAAGAGACCCCCAGGAAGCCCCCAAAGGCCCCCAAGAGGCCCAAGGAGGCCCGCAAGATGCCTCCAAGAGGCCTCCAAGAGGCCCCCAACAGACCCCAAGGGTGCCCCAAGAGACTCCTAACAACCCTCATCCTCCTACTCTATTTATTCCTCTTCCTCTTCCTGTTCATAATCATTATCTCCCATGTGTTCCCCGAAAGCTTTCCAAACCGACTCGGGGAACTCATGGTCCGATAGCTTGGCCAAGCTCTAGTCCAACTTTCGGCCACATCGGCGTTTCCAAAAAGGCAGGGGGCGGCGGTGATTCGCCGTAGGCGTCTTCGATAAACCTGGGCCAGCACGGCAACGGAAACAGCGCATCTGGAACTTGCTCAAGATGGCTCGTGGCACCGCTCGCTCTTGGAAGCCCTGGTGCTACAAGTTGTTCGCATCACCGCTCGCTATTGGGGGCCTTGGTGTTAATGGCTATTGACATTATCGCTCGCTCTTGGGATCCTTGGCGCAGAGAATTTGTCACGTCACTGTGAGCTCTTGGGAGCCTTGGTGTTCATTCAGAGCTTGCAGCGTCACCGCCGCTCTGGGGAGCCGTGATGTTGAGAGCTTGTCACGTCAATATGGGCTCTTGGGAGCTCTGGTGCTCAGACCTTTTTGCGGCACCGATCGGTCTCTGGACCCTTGGTGTTTCGAGCTTGTAACGTTGCGCTCGCTCCGGGAAACCTCGGTGCGAAGAGCCTGTCACGTCACGGGGCTCTTGGGGGACTTGGTGCTCACACCTTTCTAAGGCACCGCCCGCTCTGGGGAGCACTGTTATTAAAAATTGCGTACGTCCCCCTTCGCTCTGGGGAGCCTTGGTGTTACGAGTCTGGCGTGCCCGGGCCGCGCTGGGGGCCCTGGCGGGGCCCTGTTGGGCCCTTTTGGGGCCAATTCTGAAATTCATTTGAGCCGTCTTGGGGCGTCTTGGAAGGTCGCGGCCGTCTTGGAGCCTTCCTCTTGGCCTCTTGGTACCCCATTGGAGCCTCATGGGCCCACTTGGGGCTCCTTTGGGAACCTTTACGCGCCCTCTTGGGCTGTCTTGGGGCCCTCAGGGGCCGCCCCAGGGGCCTCTTGGGGCGCCTTGGGGCCCTCCTGGGGCCATCTTGGGACGGCTTTGGGGGTTTCTTGGGCTGTCCTGGGCCATCGGGAGCCGAAACAGGCGACGCCCCCACTTCGCGTTGCCTTTTCGCGACTTCTGCCTGGCTTTGACATCACTGCATTTCGCGCAGTACATTGTCCTAATCCTTTTCGGCTCCCCGTCGTCGGTCACCGCGTCCGCGTTCCGACCGCTACCATGGCGTGCCGCGTCGTCACTCTCTGCTGTCGTTGCCCACCCTCTGCACGTTTTGCACAATTTCTCGCCCGCGTTGTTCATCTCCTCCGTGCATTATTTGCAGAACGCTGGCCTCTCCTTCCTTTGGAACTCGTACTTCGTGAACGCCTCTACCAGCAACCTCCGCTGGCATCGCCCCCACTGATCTCTTGGCATCAGTTCCGCCCCCCATGCATCCCAATCCACGGTCTGCCCTCGCAGCACCTGCAACATGTTTTCGCGCCCGCCATCTCACCTGCGTTGCACGGCCTCCTATCAAACGGCCGGAAGATCAGCAGGTTCTCCCGCCTGCGCACGCGCGCGATGGCGACGTTACTGGACATCCAACTCACGCCGCGCTCTCTTTCAAGGTCCGCTATCACTGCTGCCATGGTCCGCCCCTGGGCAGAGTGCGCCGTTACCGCCAAAGCCGAGGTCATCATAAACTGGGTGCCCTTCGCACTCAACACAGCATGCTTCCTTTCCCCTGAAGAACCATTGCCGCCCTTTCGTCGATGGGAAGATCGGATACAGCCCCGGCTCCCACCCTGGCAGGTGCCACTCCTTCGTATGGAAATCCAGCACAATCATTCTCGGCAGATGCAACAACACTTCCTCGCCTTCATCCCCCACGACCTCGTCCTCGCGCATCGCCCACCCATGGATCGTGGCCGCGCGCTCCCGCAGAAGCTGTTTCTTTGACCGGTCCAAGTGATCCCCCAGTGCCACGGGCATCCCCTTGGCCAGCGGCAGCCGCCCGGGCAAGCCTGCGCACTCCTTCTCGCGGTGCCCAGCCAACGTATCTTATCCTCCACCGTGCACGGCCGCCTCTGTTCCCCCCCCATGGCAAGGGCAGCCCCTGGCTGCGATCCACAGAAGCTGTTCTCCTCGCACCTTGGCCCACTGCACAGCTCTTTGTTTCCCGACGCGGCAACGAATGTCCTGATTCGCATAAATAGCGACAGCGCCAAGGAATTTCCCCTCCCGAAACCTCGCGTCTCCGGGCGACGTCGCGACGAGCTTCCTCTTTTCCCTTTCAACTTTACAAGCCTCACATTCTAGTTCGCTGTTCTTCGCAATTGCGTCTTTTTCAAGAAGACAACGCAGGTTCCCGCACAATGGTGCGCCGTTTACCCACGATCCTGGCACATCCGTCGGTCTGCCATGCAAAAAGTTGCGCGCTCGTTCTGACAAGTCGCCTCGGCGAAACTCATCCTACGCTCCAAGGAACCAGTCGTCCTGGTCCTCGACGCGGTTGCATTCCGTCAACTCTGTCATCCCCTGAACTGCGCCTTCGCCACCAGCGCCTCAAAAGATATACTGTCCGTGGTCCTCCGCGGCACCCGGCGCGCATTTCCTCGCGTTCTTCAAGTACGACGTCGGAAGCGCATCAATGGCTGTCCCAGAAGGCGGCTCCAACTGGTACAAGTCCCCGCAGAACAACGCATTCAAGCCTCCGAAAGGCCAGGGCACGCCGTCTCCATCTACCTTCGCGCCATTTGCTGCTGACATGCACGAGCGCAACTGTGAATCCAGCTCTGCTAGGAAGTTCGCGCTGACCATGCTCACCTCGTCTACTATCAGCCACTTCCACTGCGACATACGCTGCGCGGCCACTTCCTTTTTCGATTTCTTGATCGACTCCGCGCCCCCATCGCCACCAGCATTCGATCCCTTCTTTTGATTCACACCGAGCCCGAAAGCACTATGGATAGTATTTCCGTCGAGAGCCGA